TTCCAGATGACTCTCAGAGACTCCAATTTGGTTATGCTCAACTCCCACTGTCAACACTTGTTCCATGTTCCCTGTGTAAATCCCAGCCACATCATAGTGTTCTCCTGAAGGAAAATGACCATCTACTTCCTTAGTTTTACAAAGCCTTTGAGAGACACCTTTCTCCTCCCTCTCTTTTACCCACTTCCTTCAACTGCAATCAGCCCATGATACAGCTGTGGTTCTAAATAGAATTGTCATTTATTATCAATATACATTTTATTACCATTATATTAATAATTGCCTAGGAGAATACTGAGGATAGGGAGCACAGAAGCAGAAGGGCGGGCCAGGCATATTGGAGCCATAAGTTAAAGTGGGTTTTACCAAGAGATGTGGAGTGTATGAAGCAGAATACATCTGAATGATTCTAAATGTAAGCCCTGGAGCAAGAATCTTGCTACTTATCTTTAGCACTTTGTAAACTAGTTCCAGTTATTTAGCCTCTCTGGGCTTTCTTTGAATTATTCACAAGTACATGTGAATATAAATATCATTGTTCTAAAGATTGAATGAGGTAACGTAGGGAAATAGTGAGCATGCCTGGGTAAAGCACACATGAAATGAATGCTGTCATTAAAAAGGTTTCTATTTTGTAACTTAACTCAGTTACTTTGCTTACCAAGGTTTAAATGAAAGTCATTTGAATCTTTTCATTCTCTAGGTTTTGTAGATTCCTGAGGACTCACATTCGCTTGGGCACTTCTGGCCCAAAGGCCCTTACGTCTTCTGCAGTAGTTTACCTTCCAGATTTTCAGTAGTGAGAGACCTGCTCAGGAGAGAGCCTGGTTCTACATTGTGTTGTCCATGTCCTGACTCTTCCAGTGATCAAAACAGTGATCCCACACAGAAAACATATGTATTTTCATATTTAGCAGACTTTAATATTATACATAAGTGTTCTTTAAAATCCTTTGGTCCCAGCCTTCTACAGGACACTCACCTCTGTCTACGTAGTCCTTTGTGGGCCCCCGGCTTCTCAACATCAATCTCACTGGTTTGTGTCTCCTTTTCTGTCAATTTCCTCACCCCTCCTTTCCAGATGATACCCAGAAACTCCAATTTAGTTATCTTCAACCCCCACTACCAACCCTAGCTCCATGTTCCCAACCACTCCATAGTGCTTTCCTGACAAAAATGACCATCTATTCCTTTATTTTCACAAAGCATTTATAGAGACACCTTTCTCATCTTTCTCTTTTACCCACTTAATTTAAGTGGAGCCAGCCTTGTGAGATAGCTGTAGTTCTAAATAGAATTATAATTTATTATTAATATACATTTTATTATCATTATAAGTGGCTAAAAGGTTTGATTAAAGAATGCGCCCACGATTAAATACTCAGCTATTGCTACTGCTTTTTTCGTATAGATTTTTGTATAATTTTCATGTCTTCATTACTTTTGTGTGTTGACTATGTAAGAAATTAATATCCTTCTTCTTTAATATTTCTCTTCTCCATAAGAATTTTTTTGTCCTCCAATAGGATATACTCATTCTGTCATCAACCCTTCTTAGATCTGTACTTTTGTTCTGTTTGTACTATTTTTATATTTAGTGAACTTTTTCTTAGTATGAATATCTTATGGTCAATGAGTTAATTTTCATTAAAATTATTCATGAAGTAGATAAATTGAAAATTTTTAAATATAATTATCCTGTATAGAGTGGATATTATATATGCTCTATTATCCAGAAACTTGTAGTGCCTTATGTGTAAACCTCAGATATCTCTTGTGGCAAAAATCATTACCTTCCCCTTTATAATTGAGGCCCTTGTATTTCAGAGTGAATAATTAAGTAGAATCACAGGTGGTAAGTGGCACCCTTGGGATGTAAACTTTAATATTTCTTCCCGAAGACACAATCACTCCCTTTTACCCCATTCTGCCTTTCCCTAACTCTCCACTAAGTTTATAGCTTCTTGAACTCAGGGACTATGGCACCCTGATATCTTAACCCATACAGGACCCTTGTCGAGTTCTGGTAAAAATATTCTCACTGGACTTTGAATATATACACTGAAAATTGGCATGTAGTGTATAGAAAATACGGTAAATTCAATAGCATGCCTCAGCTGGTATGGTAATACTAGGGCTTCTTTTCTGTGTCCAGGCAAGAACCTGTCTTCAGATTTGAAATGTACTTTATGTACATATGTTTCTTGTCAACACCCCACACGGGGCTCTCCTTTTATCATGAAATCCATCAAAAATTTGCAAGAATATGTCTGGTCCTGTGAACTAGAGAAAATTTTTCAAAAGGTAGGGCTCTGGATGCTTCTTCTAGTCTACTTCCCTAGATATTGGATATTCCAGTTGAAAATTTAGAAAGCAACTGTGGGTTATTGATCTTCCAATAATACTCTTCTTTTTAAAGGAGTTTTGAGGTTCTTTGGAGAGTTGACAAACCTGAAAGGCAAAGCCGATCTGTAATGACCTATAGCCCCTAGAAAATGATCGTTTGCTTTAGCTTCCATCCTTCCCTGAAGAGAAAATGAGTGGATTTTAATTTGACATGTGTTCCTCATGGCTATCAGCTCCAGCAACAGATTTAAAAAGTGGTGAGGAGATTTATTCAGTATTAACATTTGCAATTGCTGTACTTTTTACAGGTGTAAGTACTTTTTATTTTTGTAATTTATTTTTCTATATTTGTTGCAGTATGTCTGGCTTAAATCAAGATCCTCCACTCAGATAAAATGCCTACAGACCTTTCTTTGTTAGGTCCCTTTTCATTTGAGCTGCCAGATGGTAGGGGACAGATGCCCACCACAGAAAGAGTGACTTTGATAAAATATTTCTACCTCTTCCCAGGATCTGAGGAAATTGAAATAATAAAGTTGTAGGCATGTCTGCAGGCAGATGTGTGTCTGTGTGTGGGGGGTGTGAGGGCTAGGAGTAGGAAGGAGGTTGGAGAAAGAGCACTCAAACTCCACCCTGATCAAGGTCTCCAGGTAGATAGGTTGAGCATCCATAATCCAAAAATTTGAAATATTAAATCCACCAAAATCCAAAACTTTTTGAGCACCAACATGATGCTAAAACTTGAAACATTTTGGAATTTAGATTTCTAAATTAAAAATGTTCAACCAGTAAGTATAATGCAGATATTCCAAAAACTGGAAAAATCTGAAATGCAAAACATTCTGGTCCCAAACATTCAGGTAGGGGACACTCAACCTGCAGTGGAATACACAGAGGGTTCTGCAGGATGCCTTTCTTCTGGACAGTACAGAGCACATTGCTCTTCTCTCGCAGTTCTGCAGTTAGACTGCTCTCTCTACAGTCGGCTCATACTGATCTAGAGATGGCCATAAGATTAGGAAAGCTCACTTTTGGATATTTCTCCCCTTCACCTCAGCAGGGGGATATTTAGACATAGCATGGGCTCTTTCCTTTTATGAGTGTGTATGTTCCCATTGCTGGCGTGACCTTATAACTTGTGCATCTTTTAGCAGAACTTTTTAAAATGTTTGTCTCATTTCTTTTTCCCATAGGAAGCCAGGAGTGCTGCCATTCTGTACCTGTTTTGGGAATCAGACATGTTGGAAATAAACATTCTTAAAATATTTTAATAAATCAGGAAAAAAGTAAAAGGTTGTCCTGGTTTTTGCTTATTTGTTTGTTTTTAGCATTATGGGAATAAAAGGAGTTGAGCTTGCAGTAGATAATGGATTTAGTCTTTAGATATGATCCATAAGAACTAAAATGGCTAAGAGAACCATTCTTTTCTTCAATAAACCATTTGCTGGTTCTTCTATTTTAGGTATACAGGTACACATCACAATAGGTACCTGACTTAAAAGAATTTTGAGCTCACTAGGAGAGATGTGGAGAAGATAGACAGTAATGACAGTTACTGCATAGTGTGATAATTGATTTTTCCCAAATGCTAGAATTTTTTAAGACAAATACATGACCAGAACCTATATGTTTCTACCCTTTGGTAAGGCATTTGAGAAATTCAAAGTAAATTTTGATTCTGCCCTCGAACCCTAGTAGTTCACAGTCCCATTAAGAAGGTAAAATAGGCAAGAAAGGCAAGAAATGTGAAACGAATAGCAGACAGTGCATGACACTATTAACAAATGCTAAGTTTCTATGCAAAGTAATGGCCCAGTGTTGTGCAGGGAAAATTCAGGAAGGACTGGAAGAACTACCCCTTCACTTACTCATGTAAACCTTTTCTAATCCTAAACTCATTAACACTGAAGGTGAACTTCTAACCTTTGAAAAACCTTCAAAGATGAACATGGCATGGTCCCCTTTCCCCCACATTCATTTACAGTTCTTCTGATCATATCTCTTTTGCACAGTCATGCATTTATTCTAATGCATAATGATACTGATCCCATGATCAGTCTTTGCTCAGAGGATATAAAAAAGCAGAGATGAACAGCCTCTCTCAGTATATATTAAAAGTTAAGAATACTAAGGCCATCTTAGGCAGTTAAAGAGAAGCATTCTAGGGGAGTGGGGAGGAGGGTTCTGTCAGAACTACGTCTAATTAAGGAGTAAGATGACAGGGAGATAGGGAGGGGAAGACACCATCAGGATCTATCACCACTTAAACAGAAAAAAACAAAATATTTGTTTAATTCTTTTCTGGCAATGAAAGGAGATTTGCTAGCTTTAACTCTTTCAGGATTTGAGTTTTAGGTGAGCAGAGAGGTAGAAATATGGAGAGATCAAAACTAGAAGAAAAGGATGGATAAAAGAAGGTGTGGGGGCCGTGGAGAAAGAAAGGAAAAAAGAGGGAAACCCCAGTCTGAGGTGCCAACCTACAGGACAATATTTTGTCATTTCCATTTTTTTTTTCTTCCCAAATAAAGAAACTAGAGTTCAGGACTAGTAAGTGGATATCCTGATCACAGGGGATTTCCCAACCAACAAGTTCTGGGCAGCAGTTTCACAATCTATGACGGGATGTCCCCGCCCCGTAAGATAAGGAAAGACTGGTTACTTTCAATTTTGAATCTGAGGCTTTTTTCCTCAGTTACTTTCAGTTTGAGTCTGAGGCTTTTTTCAGCGCTATACAAAGGAACTGAAGGCTGTTCCCCATGGCTGGTGAGTTGGGGTCCTTTTCTGACTAAAAGCTAGGGATTTAGGTATTAAAAAACATTTTATTTATTGCTGTGTGACAGGTAGAAATAACAAAAGGGAGGTGAGCCAATGGGGTGCAAGTCGAATCTTTCTCTTGTTGGTTGTGCAGCTTGAATCTCAGGACCTGGTGTTGGAGACGCTGAAGGAGAGCATGGTCACCAGATGTCCTCGAGCCAGAAAGAATGTAATTAAATCCTTTCTTTCAGCTCCTGGAAATCAAAGGCAGGGAAAAGACAGTCAGAATAAGTCATTTGAGTGAGAGCCAACTCTAGAAATGTCTAAACATACTCTGCAATCCTTTCTGCTTCCTCTTGATTCCAAAGTTGTCATCCAGATCATAAACCTTCCTCCCAGAAGCAGATCTGAGAGCCTTTGGGTTCTGGTCCCTTTCCCATTCCTTATATTGAATGACACTCTTCATCTGTTTAAAGTGATACCAATTTTCCACCTTTCTCTCTAGTTCTGGTACTAACCTCTCTAACACAATATTCCTTGGGTTGCAATCACACTTTTTTAACTGTGCAGGTCCCTGTGTAGGGCTTCGCTCTCCAATCCATCCTGCACACTCCTTCCAGATCACCTGTCTTATAGACAGAAGCTGGTAAGGTGTGAGAGATTCAGTACTTAGCTATTTAGGCAACTAGAATTCTAACACATCAGATAACTTCTTTGGATCTATTTTCACTTGAAAAGTAAGAGGTTGGACTATATGACAGATTTCTAAGCCTTATCACATATATTAATAATCTATAGTTGTATAAAAAATCAAATTACTGTCCCTTCCTTGACCCAGAATTGCTTAATCTTGAATAGACTGCAGACCTTTATAATCTTTTAAAGATCTGCAGATAATTCTTATGTTGCTGGCGTAAATTCATGGATTTTTCTTTAGATTAGAATTAGTAAGAAAGTTGATCAGTTAGTTAACTCTCAGTTCTCACATTAGGTATTTATCACTGTAATTTTCTTACTCAGGAACATAAAATGGCTCCCTATTGCTTTTTTAAAACTGTCTGAATTTTCCAGACAGGTTTTCTACTGTTCAACATATATTTATCCATTTTTCCATTAATTCCTCTAAAGCATGATTTGTGCTTCATAAAAATGCAGATATTTGCTGTATTTACCTCATTGAAACTTTCTTGTTACTGTGTTTCTTTATTCTTTTGATTCTCCCTGTAATATAAAGCTTTTCAGAATTTATGTCTCACCTCACAGCATTTAACATAAGCTCCTAAAATTCAGGGATTGATTGTTTTCTTTCCTTATCCACTTCATGATACTAATAAAGCATTTGGCTGGGGACAGAAGTTAAACACATACTCATGGCTACCTGTTTGGCTAGACAGGCCCATTTTACTGGTTGTTGGATTGGAAGCAGAGGATCATTGGATAACAGATGTGAAAAATTGGAAGGTACTAGACAAAATAAATAAATAACTAAATAACTAAATAAATAAATAAAGTGGTTCAATAATTATAAACAATTGAATGTAGTTGGCTATTGTTAACTGAAAAACTGGAGGAATGGTATCTTAGAGCATTACATCAATTTGTCTGGGACCAAAACTGTGGTCTTGAGGAGTTCTGTCCTCTAAAGTATTCTCTGCATCTTTATTATCACTGAAACTCCAATCTAGTGATTATTACAGTGACAACAAATAATCCCTAACAACTTTTTTATGCACCTACCATATGACACCTATTTCATGTATTCTCTCTGAATATTGAAAACTACCCATTTAAGTTCATGTTATTATTGCTATTTTATAACTGAAGAAGGAACTTAGTCAAGGAGTCAAAGATTATATAATTTGCCTTGGGTCAAATATCTACCCTAGAGGGGTGGTTCCAGGTTAGCCTTACTCTCAAGATCCTTTTCATTACTCCAATTTTCTGCAAAAAGTCTTCATATAGCTGCCCTGTCTCTGATCACTCTGGATTCAGTCTAAACAGTAGTATTCTGCTTGCAGTACTGTTCTTTCTAAAGCTCCACTGTCCCAGCTTCCTATTTATGTCATACATAAGGGCTTTGTGACTGTTCACACTGTTCCCTGCCAGGAATCCACGCCCAGCTTCCCCAGGGGACAGGCTCAGACCAGTTATAGTCTCAGTTCCAAGTCTTCCCTCCTCAGGGCAGCTATACTCCTCCTGGCATGCTTCCTTGTGCATACACCCATTATTTAAGTTATGATAATGGTTTGTATTTTAACTATTTGTATATATAGCTTTCCACTTGACTGAAAGTTTTGATATCTAGGAATATCTTTCCAAAGTGGTATCCTCCCACAATAGCAGAGTATCTTTCCCAAACAGTTGCTCATTAAATATTACTGAATGAATTTGGGTGTGAACCTACCTTCCCTCTGCTTGAGAACTCCCAATGTGCACTTATGGCCTATTAAAGACAATCAATCTTATGTCAACGGAAAAGCAGCCAAACTCTGTAAAATAATTGAAAGAGGTTTATTCTGGGTCAAATTTGAGGATCATGATCTGGAGCCACTCTCAAGAAGCCTTGAGAAATTAGACTCTCTGTGGCCGAGTTACAGTTTGGTTTTATACATTTTAGGGAGACAGGGATTACAGGTAAAGTCATAAATCAATACATGGAAGGCTACATTGGTTTGGCCCAAAAAGGTGGGCCATCTCAAAGCAGGCGCTTACAGGTTATAGGTGGGTTTAAAGATTTTTTTGATTTGTTAAAGACATGAAGCTTCATCTAAATACTTGGACTATTAAGTTTGGGAAGTCTGATAATCAGAGACAAGCCACCAGAGTTATATTTGTTGTATAAATTGAGAACCTGCAGGTTTGTCTTACTTAGCTTTAGGCCTATTAATGAGTTACAAAGGACATCTCCAAGAAGAGAGGGGGAAATGATGAGGCATATCTGACCTCCTTCGTCCTGGCAAGTGGTTTAGATTTAGGATATTCCCTTGGCCAGGAGGGGGTCCATTCAGTTAGCTGGTTGGGTAGAAGCCTTAAGATTTTATTTTATTTCATACTTACTTAGCTCATTATTAAGTATTCTTCAAGAGTTGGGCCATTCCTAAATTTTATCCATTGTTCTTTATCCATTGTATCCATGATCCGTTAATCATTTGACTGATGATTTGGTAGATAATTATTGATAGATAATTATTTGACTAATGGTTTGGTAAATAATTACTGAATGCTAGAAGTAGTGCAGGCCTAGTTCATGCCCCTTGGCCTCACAGAGCATAGAATCTAATGGTGGATGCTGATAAGTAGGCTGAGAATCACAATTACATGGAATAAAATGCTGGCCTAGGGAGAAACACGGTGCCCTAGCAGCACAAACTTCTGACACTCCATCTAGTCTGGGAGTGTCAGGGGGGATTCCCTGATGAAAGTGCCATCTAACCTGAGACTTGAGGATAAACACAGAGCAGTGGTAGGACAGGAGGGAATAAAGGTCGGGGGACTGGTTACATAGAAATCCCAAAGTAGGGGCTTTCCAGAAACTGAAAGAAGAGGAAGAGCATAATGATTAAAACGTAATGAGCAAGGTGAGGACAGTATCTGAAGATGAGGTTGAATGAGAAGCCCTAGGTCAGATTAAGCTGAGAGGTTCCCTGATCAAATCTGGATATCAGAACACTCCCTCTGCTTCCTAGTGAAGAAGAAATTAGAAGGGGGCAAGAGTGGATTTATAAGGTTCTTAGTATAATTAGAAAAGGGAAGATGTTGGCCTGAATAGAAGTAATGAACAAGCAGAATTGAGAGAACTGCTCAGATTTTGTAAATATTTAGGAAATAAAATCAATATGTTTTGAATTGAGATAGAAAATATGACATAAAGAATAAAGAAGAGGTTTAATGTCACTAGGTTTTGCTGCTTTCTTGTACTTGGAGGTTAGATATTATTTATTAGTATGTGGAGGAGTGAATGACTCCTCCTTTGAGGGATATAAAAAATGATCAGTTCTGCTTGAAAAGTTTTATTTCAATTAGTTTGTTGGATAGGGAGAAGAGATGTCTCATTGTTAGACGTAGGGATGTTAATACTGTGATTCATGTCTGGGCTAAATCTATAAATTTGAGAGTCATTTATATATTATTTAATCTTATAATTAATGCCATGAGAATGTATAGATTGTGAAAAGAAGATTTCATGCCAAATCTCTTTAGTTGGTTTTTCATCATAATTTATTTGTTTTTAATTGATAAATAAAGTTGTATATATTCATCATGCACAATATGATGTTTTAAAATATGTATACATTGTAGAATGCCTAATTAAACTATATAACATATGCATTATCTCATATTCGTATCTTTCTTGTTATGGTTAGAACACTTAAAATTTATCCTTTTAAACAATTTTCAATAATATGTCATTATTAACTATAATTACCCTGTTCAATGATTGATCTCTTGAACTTATCCTCCTATCTAATTGAAATTTTGGTGCCTTTGACCAACTTCTCCCCAACCTTTCTATCTGCCTCTCTTCCTGGCCCCTGGTAACCACTATTCTGCTCTCTTATGAGTTCAACTTTTTTAGATTCTACATATAATTGAGATCATGTGGTATCTGTCTTTTGGTGCCTTTCCAAGCTTATTTCACTTAACATAATGTCCTCCAGGTTTATCCATGGTGTCACAAATGACAGGATTCTTTTCTTTTTTAAAACTGAATAGTATTTCATTGTGTATATAAATCACATTTTCTTTATCCATTCATCCATCCACAGACACTTAGGTTAATTCCATATCTTGGCTGCTAAGAATATCATTGCAATGAAAATGGAAGTGCAGATATCTCTTTGGTGTACTGACTCAATTTCCTTTGGATATATACCCAATAGTGTGATTGATGGATCATTGATGGGTGCTGTTTGCAAATATTTAAACTTTCTAATGCTTGTGTGTATATTTTAAGACCAGTGTTTTTGCCACCTCTTGTAAAATACATTTCTGATCTTACCTGCTGGAATTTACTCATCTTTTCAGAGTTCCTAACGTATATTGTTTGTATTCTCTTAAGTGACTCTTCACCAAGTGTAATTCAATTTGATAATTTAAGAGTGGGGGCTCAGGATTCTGAACCCATGGATTTTAATCTGTAAGAGGCCAAATTTCTTATTCATTGTCTTGACCTATATTCTTTAAAAAAATGTCATTTTTTTGTCAAAATTACCTTACATCTAGATGGACTGGATAACTATCTTTATAGAGTTAATTGACAACTGATGAGCTATCCAGCCTTTCCATATACACCTTGTCCAATTAATATTTGTTGTATTACTGTGACATCTACATTTCCCTATAAAATATTCCAAGGAGGACCACATTAACCCAATGTCAAACTAATATACCACACTAGAAGATCAGTCATCAATTCTAAATTTTGATTGAAAACAAAATTTTAACAATTTACAGCTTTAGATGCATTTATCCATTTATTTATCAATTCCTATATTTAGCAAGCATATTAAATGTTTTAAAGCATTTTGAGTACAAAGATGTGACTATAGGATACATGTAAAAAAAAATACAAATTTGAATACATAGGGCTTTCACTAAGGAAACCAAATAGAGAGAAAAGGGAAGACGCTATAGGCTAGCAGGAGGAATTTACAGTCTAGATGAGAACATGGATTTTCACAGGAACACATATTTCAGGTAGTTCCTCATCATCATAGGCTGTAAGCAAGAGAAAGAGAAATATGAACACAATGTATGTCTGGGGAGTTAATACCAGGCCCAATGCCACAGGAGAAAGATGAGAAGCTATCAAAAACTGTAAGTGGGAATGAATTGTTAAACACGGCATGGTATGAATTTTGTCAGGTAAGAGAACCTTACAGGTACAACAGAAAAAGATGTGTAATTTGTTGGGGAGATGGTGACGTGTAGTATATTCTCAGGGGTCTTTCACATTAAAGAGAGCTATGTCAGTGTCAGCTAAACTCTATAGGTTGTGCCCACAGTTGAAGGAGACTTTTATTTCTGACAGAGGACAAACACAAAAACAAAAATCCACTTAAGATGTTGGAAGCCCTGGGCAAAGATGTCGCCAATGAGTTTCTCGATAGCTTGATGGAAAAAAATGTGCTGAGAGTAAAGGCAGAAGACAAGCAAAATTTTTATGGTGCCAAAACACAAGACAAGGCCCGAGTTTTGATATCTTCTCTCCGAGACAACCAACAGGAGGCCGTTCGATTACTTCTGGAAAACTACCTTCACCTGGAAGGAAAGCCCACCAATGAAGAAGGTAAGAATGAATCTGTATAGTAAACATCTCAAATTTCCCAGATTCTGTTCAACTAACTCCAAGCCCAGGCAGCATCCTCTGCGATCCCCCTATCCTTCCTTTACTAAAGTGCCATTTTCACTAAACCTATCTTTGTCCTTTTAGAGGCCACCTTGTCTTTTGTGGAGTGGGATCCAGACTCCAGTTAGATAAAATGCTGAGTCCTTGTGTATAACCTGTTCATAGAAATAGTTAATAGTAGAGACTTTGTAGTAAGGGATACCTAAACTTAAAGCTGGATTTAAGTCACCTGTGAACTATGTGATTTTCCCAAGTTCCTTAACCTTCCTAGCTCCTTAGATATCGATTACAGTCTTACCATCTGTGAAATGAGGACAACCAAAGGACTTCCTCACAAAACTATGTAAGGCTAGTAACATAGTAATGCCAGGCATATGCTAACAACTTCCTAAGATATCAACTCTCATCCAGAAAGCTTTCATCGGAGCTCCAGACTTATTTAGCTTTACCTGCATATTCAATATTTCTGCTTGAATGTTCCACTGGCTTCATAAAACTAACATATGTTCCCCTGACCAAGTCTGTTCCACTTTTATCCCCTTTCCATCTCAGTAAACGGAACTACCATCTACCTAGTACCTCCCACTAGAGTGTAACTGGTTTTTCTAATAATGAATAACAGTAATTAGTAGAGAGCCTGGTACATAGCAGACATCTAATTAATATAGGACAAATAAACAAATGAAGGATATGCATACAATAAATATTAGTTATTGCACTTACTATGTGGGTGCTAAGATTTAGATTTTTCCAGTGCTTACCTAGTTCTGTGAGTTATAAAAATATAATCAGGAAAACCTCTATAAAATGTATACAATCTTCTAACTTTTCAAAACTTTTGACCCAGATTGAATTATGAATATTATTACAGCCTAAATTTTCTCAAATCAAAGTATTCCAGTGACAGACTGAATCAGCCATACAGTTTAAGCTGAAATCTTCAGCCCTCAAATACTAGTGTTTACCAATAATCATGGATGATATGCTTAAAAGGCAACATAAATCGTTGCAACCTTCCTGTATCAAATGATCTTTTTCAATAAGCCTTCTCTAATGAAAAGGAAAGTTCACATCATTAGGAAGCACATGCTAGTATGATAGTTGTACAAGATTATAACTTAGGCTGTATTCTTATTAATATTTTAAATTGGTCGTTTTATAGGTGTTTTGCTTTTTGTCAAACCTGGGATGACATAGGAACAATCTTGATTTTATAAAATCAGAGATGATGCAGTTAATGGGAATAAAACTTGAAGTAATAAGGGCTTCAAAATTATTTTAGCAGCCCCAGAAGTCACAATGAGCATTAAACTCTAAGCGGAAATAAGCTATCTGACCAGCAGAGGCTATGGCAGGAAGGAGGCTGATGTAGACTCTTTCAGGAGGGACACAGTGGCTCCCTGGGCTCTATCTGCACTCGAAGTCTCCAGAATGATCCCAGGAAACTTTAGGAGAACTGGCCCAATAGGCCAGGAAGCCGTGTGGGCTGGGCTATTAGAATAGGTAAAGGTCCTGGCTAGGTAAAGGGTATAATTGCGAGATTTTCCAGCATAGCATGGGACTATGGACTGAGGGATAGGAAGGATATGAGTATTTGTTTGTTTGTTTCACTTAACGATCTCTTTTTATACATACATACTGTGTGCCAAACACTGTTATTTAGTCTGAGAGATAACCACTTGAATCCCAAACTGCCAAGGGAAAAAAGTTTTGTTTTACCTTGTACTAGTCTTTTCCCTTCTGTGTCAATTTAAAGGGAAACCTGAGCATTTCACTGGGTAACAGATAAGACTCAGAAATTAAAATTTGTATCTAAACTTCTGATTTCTTCATTTCTTTCTGTTGAACTGCCAGGCTAATAAGAACTCTCTTTGAGCAGTGGACTGCATTATACTAGCTACTATTTTATAATGAAATAATCTGTTTTCATGCTAATGTTACTGTTGGATGTAAGGTAGAAAGTCTGTCTAATTCCTCATTTTACCTGAAAATACTGCTACATTAAAAAGTCCTCCAAACCTGTAAATAAACAAAAAACTGGAAACTATGGATGAGAAACCATATGCTATGATCAGGAAATATCCCAGGCCCCTGGATGCCTTCATGTTGGCAGAATTTAATCTAAGAAAAAAAATTACTCAGAAAGTCTGGTACCCTTACACACTCTTACAACTTGCTCTATCTCTAGAGTTAACACATTATCACACTTTTTAGAAGGATATTTATTTTAAAACATTATTAAAAAAAACTAATGAAAACAAATAATTGAAATAGGAAAAGACATTATAAAATATAAAAACTAAAAATTTCACACAGTATAATATTACTTTTCTCATGTAAATAAATTAACCATAGAATGTCTTGGTTGGCTTTTATAACTGAACAGAAGTAACAGTACTGTCCATTCCTTTCATGGCAATAAGCGTCATTGTTTAGACCTTGGCAAACTTCTAATTCTTGCTTCTGAATTCTTTATTTTTTCTCCTTCGAGGGAGGGCTCTGGAATTTCCTAGTCTCTTCCACAATCTCAGTCAAATGAGGTCAAGCAATGTCAGATAATATTACATTTCTCTAGGTATCCCCTAGAGAATCAGAATGACTCAGAAACAAACATCTCCAAAACAGATGTATTAGTTCCTTGCATTATAAAGCATTGCTTGAAAACCTTGCTGTTGGTCATTCAGCAATTTAGAGGCAAGAGATTCAGAGTTATGTCAGAATTTCTCAAAAAAAAATTGTCACACTGATCCTGGACACAGCACTTTTTGTTACTCAACAGCATTTTTCCTTTAAATAGCTGACATTACAAGGTGGTAAGGGATAATTGAAGCCCATTTCCTGTAGAAAAGTGAATAATTCAGGCTATAGCTCTGAAAAAATAATGGATGGCATAGCATTCAAGATTCTATTAAGTGTCTGTATCTCTATGTGTTGCATGGGTTAGAAGGGAACTGTCACTCCAAATCCAGTTGTTGTACTATCCAGTATTATGGCCAGTAGCCATATATGGCCATTAAGAACTTGAATTGTGGCTAGTAACACATGTGGAAGTGACAATATTTTGGATGTATTATGTTAAATAAAATATATTATTAAAATTAATACCACCTGTTTATTTTTACTTCTTTAATGTCAATATTATAAAATTTAATTATTGCATGTGGAACTCACATTATATTTCCAATAGATGGCACTCTGATAAATATTTACTCAATATACTCTTGCTCAGAAACAATGGAAAGTCCACATTGGATGGATGAGTTCCCTAGTTTATTACCATTGGAAAAGTCAAACTGCTTTGATTTGGGGAGCCAGATTTGGCCCCAAGTTATCAAGGTATTTTCCCCAGAATTATCAGAAACTATTATTGCATTTCTGAGTGAATCTGCTTTCTCTACCAGAGACTTCTCTCTTCTTTCCCAGTAACATGCATCTCCTTACATAAAAGGTTAGATACAACTATAACCCCTATCTACAAAACAGTCTTCTTCCCAGGAATTCTTTCTTTTTCAAACTTCTGAGTTGATAAATTGGGTCACCAAGGCAGAAATCACAATAAGTATAATGTTATATATCCTGCAGCTCCTCCGGAAATCAAGGCTGAGCCAGCTGAGTCAGCAGAACCTACAGATACCCTCAAGCTTTGCCCTCGTAAAGACTTCTTGAGACTGAGTAAAGAACGGGCTGATGAGGTGCTGTGCTGTATGCATGAAATAGCAAAGAGAGAAACAACTGCTTTCACTAAATGCATGATTTCTTAAAGCACTAAGTAACTGAGGGTGAAGATTATGGTAACATTTTTCATAGATGCTTCCAGCAAAGAAGAGATCATGGAGCTCTAGGCAGATTCCAATTCTCTTTAAACACTGTGATAAAATGCAGACACCTTTGGTTCTTCATTTCTTTGTTCATATATATCTTTACAACTTATGACAATTTTAACTGTAGCCATAGAATCAAAATATTTGTAAGATAACATGGCTGAATAGTAGCTGTTTGTATCTAGTTGAAAGGCCTAGACATGAAGCATGTTTTAAAAATATAATTAAAGCATGAAAATGATTAAATTGGTATGTTAAAAATAGTATCAAAATAATAATCCTGCCAAAGGCAAATTAATTTTTGGTGTATTCATTATTATTGGAGCCAATGACAAATGTTTCTTGTTTTTTATGAACTTTGATCTGAAAGTTGAATGCTAAGAAAGATTTGATCAGGTGGAGAAGAAAGGGGAGAGGGATGAGTAGGAATTATTCTACTAATAGTTTGTAAAGATTCTTGAGTTACTCTTCCAAATATATCCCTGTCCTTGCTCTGGGCTCCTGAGAGAGAGGACGGCAGGGTCTCCTGGTAGAGGTTGGGGGAGAGGGTAGCTGTACGAGGCTTTAATAAAGCAACACTGCTGGGTGTATGGGGTTTCAAAATAGACTCGGGCAGAATCCAACTCACTGCATATCCATCTCCTGCAGATCTACCCCATAAAGGAGAAAAAGGATCGCACTCGCCTGGCTCTCATCATATGCAACACAGAGTTTGACCATCTTGAGCGGAGAAATGGGGCTGACCATGACATTGTGGGGATGAAGGGGCTGCTTGAGGGCCTGGGCTACAGTGTGGATGTAAAAGAGAAACTCACAGCCAGGGTAAGGGCCCCTCGCCCACCCCAAACTCACACGTATTCAACACTCACCCTTTCACTAACTAGGCAGCTTTAGAAAACCTCAAATGCTTTAACATCCTCAGGCTGTATTTGTAGGTGTGTTGGCAAAACGAAGGTATTATAATAGGTAAAATTTGTGTTTCTTTTGAACTCCAACCATCCCAATTCCATGAAACTGGACAAAATGTGATTGACGTGTGTTTTCACCATTCTTGTTGAATTCCAAAGTGAGGTGACTGTGAGTCAGCCCCAAGATTCCCCAGACAACTCGAGTGGTGCCTGTTAAGCAGAAGTGCACTCATGAAACAAATACTGAGTCCTGAACTGGGTGTCAGGAGCTTTTCCTGCCACCTGGGATGGGCCTTTCAGTGAGACGGGAAGCTCCCAGCTCACACTGACCTAGGTTAGAGTGCAGAGGGACAGTCAAAATATAAGCAAAACAGACAATTTCAGAGATTGTGTGTGGGTATGTGTCTACATAAGCTTGATAAGAAAGTCAAAATAAGGGCTGGGCCTGATGACTCACGCCTGTAATCCTAGCACTCTGGAAGGCCAAGGATGAAGGATTGCTTCAGCTCAGGAATTTGAGACAAGCCTGAGCATGAGTGAGACCTACCTGTCTCTACTAAAAATAGAAAAATGTCTTGTAGTCCCAGATACTCAGGAGGCTGAGGCAGGAGGATCTCTTGAGTCCAGGAGTTTGAGGTCACTGTGAGCTAGGCTGACGCCACAGCACTCTAGACTGGGCAACAGAGTGAGACTCTGCCTCAAAAAAAAAAAAAAAAAAAAAAGGAAAGTCAAAATAACTGAAAAGAGAAGGAAAAGTGAGATAAAAGAGAATTGGTTTGGGGGGGCACCTTTGATGGGGTGGTCCAGAGAAGCCTCTGTGAAGAGATAGCACGGAAGTTGAGTCATGACTACCAGAAGCAGGTGGCTCTGGAAAGATGTGAGTGAAAGGCCTTCCAAGTAGGGGGAGCTACATGTGAAAGGGCTAAATTGGAAAGGAACCTGGCAGGTGAGAGGCACAAAAAGACCAGTGTGGCCAACCTGAGGATGGAGCAGGGTCAGGCCAGAGGTTTGATTTTATTCTAAGCACAATGGGATGGGTTTAAAAAGGAAAGTGGTGTGATGATGCTTTTATTACACATGATCCTTGTTAGGTAATGAGAGAAAAGATGGAGATGGACAGGAAAAGGTGACATATAACAAAAGACAATATATTGAGAAGACAGTTTCTGGTATGTCAGCAGCAGGAGAAGGTTGGAACCCACTGTCCTATTAAGAAGGAAAAAGACAACAGTTGTCATCACTGAGTCAGGACTGTGTGAAGGCGCCATGACAGAATGTCACATGCGTTTCTTGTGCTGCTCGTGGTAAATCTAGGAGGTCAGATGGTTGTGGCACTTGCTCTACTGAAGTGAGACATTGGTCTTCTCCAGGATATGGAGTCTGTGCTGCGGGAATTTGCTGCCCGACCAGAGCACAAGTCCTCAGACAGCACCTTCGTGGTGCTCATGTCTCATGGCATCCTGGATGGAATCTGTGGAACGAAGCACAGTGAGGGAACATGGGATGTGCTGCCTTATGACACCGTCTTCCGGATACTCAACAACCGCAACTGCCCTATTCTAAAGGACAAACCCAAGGTCATCATTGTCCAGGCCTGCAGAGGTGGTGAGTTCTCGGATGGAAAATCCAAAAGTTACAAAGGAGTTTGCAGAGACCTTTGATGCATGGCTTATATCTAAGGGAAACTATCTTAACCCACCCAGTGCAAATCTACTGCACTGAATGATGAGGAAACTCTGTCTAGGGGGCTGGTGTCATTATGATTGCCTGGTCAGCTGAGAAGTTTCTATACAATTTAGTCCAGGGGAAGTGGTGAAGGAGATCATCAGAATCCCTAAATCAAAGTTAAACAGAAATAATTTTACTTTTGAGAGTTAGGCCATCATGTGTTATAATAGCAGCACCTTTTTCCCCATGTAATTATTGAATGGGAATGAGTTTGGGGATCAGAGGACTTGGGGTCACTGCTATCAAATTTTTCTTTTCTTCTTTTTTTTAAATCCAGAAAGTCATGGCTACTAGGAGCTCTATTGATTTATTTGCTTGTTTATTTATTCATTTATTTTTGAGACAGAGTCTTGCTCTGTTGCCCCAAGTAGAGTACTGTGGCACCAGCCTAGCTCACAGCAACCTCGAAATTCTGGGCTCAAGCGATCCTTCTGCCTCAGCCTCCTGAGTAGCTGGAACTACAGGCGCATGCCTTGATGCCTGGCTAATTTTTCTATTTTTAGTAGAGACAGGGTCTTGCTCTTGCTCAGGCTGGTCTGAAGCTCCAAAGCTCAAGCAATTCTCCCACCTCAGCCTCCCAGAGTGCTAGGATTATAGGCGTGAGCCACTATGCCTGGCCTGGGAGCTCTCTTTAAATAAAAAGTAGAAATAATTTAGCTAAAAGCTGGTAACTACAGGATGATGTCACTATTAATTGGTAAATTTTTCAATTGCATTAGAGAGAAGGGAAAGTGGTCTTGTATGTGTGTATGAAACTATTAATAGTCAGAATGAATATTCAAAAAGAACAAGGTGAGCAACTGTGATAGTCACTCTGAGAGAGGCTCAGCAGTGTGCAACAAGTTCGTGTCTCCACAGCAAACCGTGGGGAAGTGTGGGTCAGAGACTCTCCAGAAGCCTCGGCAGCCAGCTCCTCACAGTTACCTGAGAACCCTGTGGCAGACAGCTTCTCACAGTCCCCTGAGAACCTGGAGGAAGATGCTGTTTGCAAGACCCACGTGGAGAAGGACTTCATTGCTTTCTGCTCTTCCACCCCACGTATGTGACTTTTAGTGGCATCAGGGATTTGGGAGCCTGCGGCCACCTTTGAATGAATGTGGAAAATCAAGATAGGCCCTGTCTCTCAATGATCTGACAGATATTTTTGGGTTCTGACAATGTATTTTACAGTATCTTTTCTGTGCTGTAAGGATAGATTTTCTTCCCACTACACACACTTTTAAAAAGTGTACTTTATTTTGAGTATTAAACTTTGCAATCAAAGGCATACCAAATATCAGAGCAGCTCAACACAAGGAATCCCATTCACCAAGCACCATTTAAACGTAAGTGATTGGTTCAGTTTTTTATTATATCCATTTAACATTTTTAGCAGGGATTTTGTGGATCCCAGAACTGGCTGCCCATTCTTAAATTATCAGCTCCAAGCCCTTTCCCCCATATTTCCCATCTGGTTCTACATACAGTCATGCCATTCCATGCCCTAGTAGGAACGTGGATGCCGTTTGAAAGAAATAGAAAATGGTAGGGTGGGACTGATTAGGTCCAATACAGGGAACAGTGGTTCCATTTCACCTCTGGTAATCATGCTAAGGAGCCTTACATTTGACTATTTCTAATTTGCAAATTCTTAATTTATTTAGTCATTATAATTAAACTTCCTTATTGAGGTATAATTGACATACATAAAACTCTACGTATTTATACAACTTATTGATTTCGGGGATAAGTATACACCCTTTAAACCATCATCACAATATCTGTTGTAAACATATCCCTTCCTTCCAAAAGATTTCTCCAGCTCTCTGTTTATTAACATTATTGTGTGTGTGTGTGTTTGTGTGTGTCTGATAAGAACACTAAACATAAGATCTACCCTCTTAGTGAATATTGAATTATGTAATACAGTATTGTTAACTATTGGCCTTATGCTGTATATAGTAAATTTCACTGATGTATTCATCTTCTACAGCTGAAACTTTGGTTCTTTTATCCATTTTGTTGTTCATATTGTTAAAGACAAAATGGTGTCAACCACCTTGGATCCAGGTGGCCATTTTTGGTCGCTTACTCACTGTGTGAACACAGGGAAGTTCCTTCATCTTTCTGAGCTTCTATTCTTTCATCTGTAAAGTGGGATAATCACAGGTGTATCAAAGCTGAGTGAATGAACAAAAGGCGCATAGTACAATGTCAGCTCCAGGTATGCAAATGAAATCACTATGCACTCTCTTGAAATTCTGACATGCTGCCCTTTTAGTTCAACCTCTGCCAGCATTTTTGATTTTTTCTCTGTAGCAAACGAGCTAATGTCAGGTTATAAGTTCTTACCCTAAATATGTTATGATAATTTCTGAGCTATATTTTTCTCTTTACAAAGGTCCAAAAAGCAAAAACAAAAAACAGAAATTCGTGAAGACCATAATCCACACCACTTTCTATCGTTGTAGATAACATGTCCTGGAGAGACATCACAAAGGGCTCCCTCTTCATCACACAGCTCATCACATGCTTCCAGAAATACTCTTGGTGCTGTCACCTACAGGAAGTGTTTCGGAAGGTAAGCTTCTCTTTCTGCTCCTATTCATTTATTTGTTCAGCAAGAATCTATCATTATTCACATTTCAAGTGACTTTATCAGGCAAGAGAAAGTAGAGTGGTATCTGGTATATGTCATTTAGGTGTTGAAATCTGGTTTAGAAAAGATGTCAATATATCCCAGCAGGAGACCAAAGCAGAACAAAATGATATAAATTATAAATATGTATGTTATGGGCTATCAGTTCTTAAAATTCAAAACACAGAAAGTATTTTGAATTAATTTTCATTGTCTAATATGTTAAATAAATATGTATTGGGTGGTCTGCTAAGGTAATGGGCTCTATCCTGGTGACAGAGGTGGGGGTTAATGGGGTGCAAGTATTTAAGCCTACTGAGGACTCACACTTTTGTACTTTTGTGAGTAATATGAACATTAAAAAAGTGAGTCAAAAAACAAATGTGTGATCACAGTTTGTGATAGGATCCATAAATACATGTGCAAGAAAATTAAAATAATCCATTCTTTGAGTGGAATGGTCCAGAAAGGAAGACTTCGTACTCCTTCCCCAACTTGGTACATTCCTTAGTCCTCCTCCTTCTCCTTCTATATTTTTCTTCATAGCTCTTACCAGCACCCAGTCATTTTTATTTTATTTATGTGTCTGATTTTTTACCTGTATTTACTCACTAAATTGCAAGCTTTATGAATGCAGGGATTTGCTCAACACCTCAACATGCCTGGCACAAAGCAGACATTCAATTAATATCCATTGAAGAAATAGACACATGAATGAATGGATACATGCTTCCACAACCCTTTTTTTAGAGAAATAGGATTGATTTGATATTAAGAACCTGGGAACGTGTAATTGTTTTTAAATTCAAAATTGTAGAGAACAGTTATACTCTATTGTGAAAAGAGAAATACTCCTTTGGTAGATTAGAGAAGATTCCTCGGTAGCATGAGTCAGATTTCCTATGAATAGGGATCTAAAATGTTAAGTTCTTCAGATAAATAGGAATTAGATGTTATAGTTTCAAGTGTGTTTCTAGACAAAGACCAAAAACACTGGATTTAGGGTAAGTGGGATCTCATTGATCAGTCCATGCAAAAGACTTCAGAGATCAGCTTGGTGGTGGGTATATGAAAGTTTCAGTGTTTAGGCCTTAAAGACAAGATCCTGGGAATTAGGTCTCCTTAAATTGAGGAGTCAGCCTTGGTGGGGTTGAAAATGGAGGATTTTCTTTATGTAGTTCTCATGAACAGATCTAAGGGATATTTGATTGTCAGCTCTATAGTTCAGAAGTGAGAAATAGAGGAAATAGAAATTGAAAGGACTTGGATTAGGCATGAGGTATTTATTTTGAGTTAAAAAATACAGTCTGGCATGGAGTGTCCATTCAAAGAGCCTAGTAGCCCTGGCCTAGAATTAGAATATCCATGGGCTTGTCCCATCAACCCCAGGGGTGCATCTTATTCCTGACATTTCCTGGTTCATGGGGCAAGACGTTTTCTTTATCTTCAAAAGAGTCATATGTCCTCTAGAGCTTCTTTTTCTTTTTAGGTACAACAATCATTTGAAACACCAAGTGTTCGAGCCCAGATGCCCACCATTGAACGACTGTCCATGACAAGATGCTTCTACCTCTTTCCTGGAAATTGAACACTGTAAGTTTGGAGAGTTGCTGTGCATGGGTGAAATATATGGGAGAGTATTGCTGGTGGTGAGGTCCAATACCAATGGCAGCTGACTGCTTGGATGGTCAAATTAGTGTTATCCATTAGTTTAATTTATTAATTTTTGATATTTTTTTATTCTACTTATATGAATTTGGATTTCCCCAAGTGTGTACTAAATTAATTAAGCAATTAATCAATCAAAGAGGTAAGGAAATCCAAGGCAGGCTATGATAAACAATGAAAGACTCATTGTAGTAGTTATTAAAATAGAAATGTACTCAGGCTTCCATTATTACTTATATTGATTTATCTCTCATTCTCAGGCTATGATAAACAATGAAAGACCCATTGTAGTAGTTATTAAAATAGAAATGTACTCAGGCTTCCATTATTATTTATATTGATTTATCTCTCATTCTTTCTTTCTCTGTCTCTCTCTCACTTTCTGTCTCTTTCTCTTTGTCTCTTTCTCTCTCTCTCTCTCTCTGTCTTTCACACACACACACACACACACACACACACACACACACACACACACACACACGAGTTACCAAAGATTGCATCACACCCTGGGAAAAAAAGAGCAGAATAAACAGAGGTGTTGATTGTGGAGAAAGCAGGACTTTGGTTCTCTGAGTGCAGACGTCACATGACTAACATTGAGCTACCATTACCAGACCATATAAAAAATACCTTGGACTGCAACCTTTATATTGAGGTAGGCTCTGGTTCTCAGACTGTCCTCATACCGTTCTCACAGTGTAAGTAACAGAGTCTGCTTTTTAGACCCTCAATTACTGCTCAGAAAATCCTTCAGGCTCCCATGTTAACACTTAGCCATTTTTGGAATTGGTCAAAATATTTTAGAATGGGTACAGAATGGGTAGATTGAGATTAGACCCAAGGACTACTTTTTTCAATGGTAACTACTTTATATGATACTATATAATAAGCATATTATCAATTGACTTCTCAGAAACACATTTAAAATTGTATTTTATATCAAATAATAAAATGTATCTCAATACCTCAAATATTTACTCACACAAACTCTTACTCTTGGTTTCTGACAATTTAGTTGCAAAATTACACAGATATTTCACTGAACAGTTTCCAGTGTGTGCCTAATTCATCCCATAAGACCACATTTGGACATTGAAATATTTGTTTGACTAATATTTATCCACACTTGCCATATACTAGGTTCTGTTTTAGATGTTGGGAATATACCAGTGAACAAAATAAAAGGATTCCTTACCCTCAGAAACCTTATATGCAAGTGAATAGAGACAGACTCTGAATACATAAACAGGTAAATATATCATAGGTCAGAAAGTAATACAAATATGCAGAGTAGGGAGTGAGCCAGTGAACCTAACCACATGGTGTGGTTCTTATGCAGGAAAAGTGTCCCAGCACAGAATAAAGCAATTGCACAGGCCCTGGGGCAGAAATGTGCTAAACATGTTCAAAGAACTACAATGAGACATTGTGAGTGAATGAGAACTGCAGCAGGGAAAACGGCAGAGACAAATATCAATGAAATGGGGACGCGGCTGATCCCATGGGCCTTGGTGATAACATGGCAAATCTTTTAAAATTTTCATCTGGAGTGAGTTGAGAAATGCTTTAAATGCCTTTGAACTGAGAAGTAACATACTCTAACTTGGGTTTCACAAAGATTACCCTGAGTATGTTTTGGTGAATAGCCTACATAGGTCATAAATGGAAGTCAACAAGAGCTCATGGGAGAGGATGAAAGAATAATCATGATAAGAGGTGGATGAAGGCTGCAAGGAATATCTATCTTGACCTTCTATTTTTTCTCTTTCCTGCAGGAAACCACAGGCAGCCCAGCCCTCCTTTATAAACTTCAGGAAGCACCTTTGCCAGTACATTGTACAACACATGCATTTAACCTTTTATTTTCTGATAAGAAGTTTTCTGATAAGAAGTCTGCTTTTATTCTTATCTTTTTTCCTCTGACTACAGGGTGCCGTTTGCTCTGGCTATTTTAAAAGTTCCTCGTCATTGGATTTAAGGACGTTAATTATGATATGTCTTGTATAGTTTTCTTAGTTTTGCTTGTGCTTGGGGTTCATTGAGATTCTTGGATCTCTACATTTACAGTTTTCATCAATTTTTTTGAAAGCAAACCATTTTTTTAAGAGAAATGGCTTCTATTGCTATATCGTCAATATTTTCCTATGTAATGTTTAAATGACTTGTATTATTACATTTTTTCAACAAAGGCATGTTCCATTTGTGAACCTACATGAAGGTGTGTGCTTCTGATTTGTACACTTTTCTATACATGCGTTAAGCTGAGATAAAATTTCCAAAAATGATGTCAAGAGAAATTCTTGGGCAGCAAGATTACAGTTCATTTGTTTTCTTTTTATTTTCCTGTATTAAACTAATGAATGTTATCAAAATAAATGAAGGATTTTTTTTAAAGTACTTTTAATTTTAGTATTACTTTTAATTTCAGTATATTTTTTATTTCAGACATTGCTTTCAATTCTAGAAGTCTGAATTAGATCTTTCCAATATAGTCTACTTCCCTGCTTAACATGTTTGATTTATCTTCTGTAATTTATGGGATAAAGTTTAATAACTATTTTGCTGGCTTTATCTATTAATTCTATCCTCTGTATTTTTTTCAGTGTCAGTGTCAATTGATTAATTCGTCTTCTCATATGTATTGTATTTTCATGTTTCTTTTCATACCTGACAATTTTGTATTGGATGCCAGCCACTGCTAATTTTACCATCTTGTCCTTACCTTGGGGACAGATATTTTTGTATTTCCACATATATCCTTGAGCAGTTAATTTATCTGGAAATAATTGATCCTTCTGGTTTCATTTTTAAGATTGTTTTAGGCAGGACCAGAGAAGCTATTAGTGTGCAGTTAATTTCACCTCACTTATGAAGCAATATCTTTCTTTATACGGTACCCATGTGCCCAGTGTTTCATAAATTATGTTTTCGCTCTGCCTGGTGGCACTATTCCTTGCTCATTGTGAGCTCCCCTTACTGTTCCTTCTAATTCTTTGGCTGTTTTTTTCCTGGTCTCTTGTGGTTGCCTCATAAGTATGCATGATAAGTACTTAGCTGAAGATTTAAGGGAACTTTATATTTCCAGGTATTCTCTCTCTCTCTCTCTCTCTCTCTCTCTCTTTTTCTCTGGCACTTTCCCCTGCAAATTCTAGCCAGCTTTTCCTACCCATATTACTAGCATATTACCAGCTCCTTCTGCTAACCTCAGAGAAGCACTAGACTCAGTCCAGATTCTTCTTCATTGCACTGCAGCCTGGAATATCTCTCTAAGCAATAAACTGAAACAATTCTAGGGCTCACCTTGTTCTTTTCTCAACTGTCAGAGACAGATATCCTTCACTGTCTGGTGCAGTATCATAAAAATAGTAGTTTTGTATTTTTTCTGTGTTTTTGTTTGTTTGTTTGTTTTGGGATGTTTTGGGAAGAATGGTGGGTCATGTCCCTGTTATTCCACATTGGCTAGAAGTAGGAGTCTTTTGCTCTTTTCAATATTTAATTACATAGTATGCTGAGAGTCCTTCTATACCATGTCAATACATACAGCCTTTATCCTATAAAGATCCAGGACCCAGTCAAAAACCTTTAAAAGTATGTTCAGATGTATCTTTTAAGCAATAAAAAGTCTTTTGCAATTCACAAATAAGGATTTGAGAATGAGAAATGTAGGTTATAGAGCAAATTAGGGATTTGCTATTTGTTCATAAGGTACATAATTGCATAATATTATACATGCTAAATTTATATACATTTGAGGCAGTTTAATAAGAGTGAGAATGGAGAAACTGGAAATGATGAAAGTTGAAGCCAATTTTTAAAAGTTACCCAAAATTGCCTTGGCATGTTGACTATATTCATTTGAGTTTTACTGAATGCAAAGGCTTAGTCAAAAACTTGTATGGGAAAGATTTTGGAAGGTGATTCAGCCATCTTCCCTTACTCCCTCTATTCCTCAACAATTGCCTTATTTCTGTTCTATATTTTGAAATACGGAACATCTTAAGAATGCTAGAAAAATCTACCTAGGTTAGACTGTCATGTTCAAAGTTAGAATCATGTCTGTAGCATAAGACAGCTGGTACTCATCCTCAGTTTGGAGATGTATTCTCTCAAGTTAATTTGAAGAATAAGATGTTGTTTTTTTTTTTCAGAGTCAGGGTAGTTAGTGGTTAAGAGTGTGAATCTTGGAATGTTTCTGCTTAAATTCAAAACTGGACTCTTTCATACTAGCTATGTGAACTCAGACCTGCTACTTAATTCCTGTTTATTTCATTTTCCTTACTTGTTAATTGGAGATGATGTAACTACTATCTCATGGGATTATTGGGAAGATTAAATGATTTAAAGCATGTATAGCACTTAGAAAAATATTTACATAGTAAGCCTGCAAAAATATCTGGCTATTCTTATTTTGTTAGCTGCAAAGTAATTAATTTCTCCTAGATAAACCTGCTAATGCTTTAATGCTACCATGATTATTTTATTGTCATCTGCTATATACCTAATTAACTTACATTTATATAGAGAAAGATCATGGCCATAATAACTATTCAACAATAATCCCAGGAAGACTTCGTGATTAACACAGATGGAGCCAAGTTCTTTCCAAATAATATATGCTCTCATCTGAACCTTTATAACTTTAGGCAGTATTATCTGTGAAATAGTATTCACATAAAAGGCTATCTAATCGTCACAAATAATCATTTCATTAAGCACATTGTAAAAGAGCAAAATGCTTTATTTTCTTCTTAAATTTTACAGTAAATTTATTAAAAATAAGAAAGAAAATATTATATTTGAGTCTTCTTGTTTAGCACTATATGAAAAATGGTTTCTATGTAGCATCTTCAGGCTAAACTAAAATGCAAACATTTTAAGGTCTAGAAATGATCCATGGTTCAGTGATAATGATGATGAAAGACGTAGCAGTCTTTTGAATTCTGTCATAGTACTTTCTGAAATGTCTGTCTGTTGTTGAATTTAAAACCAGTAACTGGAAAGAAACATATTTCCTATGTGTTTAATATACATGAAGAAAAAAATTAAAATGCACCATGAGGCATTTATTGTTTTAGAAATCTGCTCCTCAAAATTAAAATTAATCATACAGAAACAAATAAAAATTTAACTATTTTAATGCATGTTCTTAGAGAAAGAAACTAGAACACCAACCTCCAAAACACAGTAATTCAAAGATTTTTTTTAGGTATTGTAAATTTTTACAAACATGCTGATAGCAATCATTTTAAATTATAGAGACGAAGGTTGACCCTATCTTTTTAAACAATTTGACACAGAGGCATTACTTGGATAACTTTATTTGAATGTACATTTTTACTCACTATTTATGAATCTTTCATAGCATTTCCTTTGGCATTTGGCATAATCCCTATTAGGACTTTTTATTATCATGCTCTTGAATTTTTTACCATTCAATAGACATAAATGTATATTTTGATTGACACTTTGATTGTTTTAATATATGGTAATATTATAGGATTGAATGCATTTGGAGATCTCTTTCAGAAATTCTAATGGTAACTATGTAGATTCTCAGTCAGGGCATCTTGCTAGCTCCTAGATTTCCTAGCACACACAATCCTTTAATTACATACTGTGGTTTGATGTTAATATCTACTACTTATCTTAGTATGACAAAAACCTTTATAAGTGTAAAGCAAAGCCATAATCAACAAATGAAAATTCACTCAATTTCACTGAAGAAAATTAGAAAATTCTAAAGTTCATAAAATATCACAACATATTAAAAGAATAAAAACAAATAGCAATAACATATTTATACCAAATATTACACTGAAAAGGTGAATACTGTTTAAAAGTAAAGAACTTTAACAAAGCAATGAAAAAGAAAATTCCGATAGCGTTGAAATATCTTGAAAATGAACGTGTAATTACAGATAAATAAACATATTCAATTAATGTAAAGAGAAATTCAAATAAATTTTAGAATAGCAGTAACTCTAGAAGTAACACCAAAATTATTTTTACCATTTAAGTTCTTACCATATGCCAAGCATTGTGCTAAATTAAACTAGCAAGTATAGGAGGTGAGTTTTATTGTAGCACCTACTTTATAGATGAGGAAATAGGGACATAAAAAGACAATTAAATTGTCTAAAGTTACTTAGAGTTGATTCACAATTTTAGGGCTGAGCAATTCTAATAAACACGTTCTAAAACCACTTTGCTAAGGAAATATAATTTAGCACAATGATGAGAAGTCTTTTATAAAATGTTTTCTTGCACATTATCAAAGAATAAAGAATTGAAAGTGCCCATAATTGGCAAAAATATATTTTAAAATAGACTTTTATTTTACAGTCAGGTGGAACTGTAAAGTGGTAAAAACTTTTGGAGTGGTTTCAATGATCAAATAACTATATTATTTGTACTATAAATTATAATCAGAAATTTTCATAGATTAATCTAGAATTATATTTATTATAGTATTGCTGATTAAATAAAAACATTAAAAACCAAATAAACTTTGAAAATTGGAAATTTATTAAGTATAGTATTATGGGATAACCATACAATGAATGCTGTTAATGTATTCAAATTTATGTTTTAGAGAAAAAAATTTTACATCATGGAAAAGTTTTAGTATGTTTTTAACAGAACAGTAATTACAAAATGTAAGCTGAATTATACAACTATACACACATAATATATATGTATGATAAATAAACTGGAAGATACCTTCAAATTTAATTGTGGTTATCTCTGGCTATCTATGAAATGTGGCATTAAGAACAAGTTTGACTTTTATTCTGCCTTTTCTGTATCTGCCAAGTTTTCAAATAAAAAAAAATTGTTATTTTTAAAATTCCTAAAGAAGTTGTGTCAAATAAGATTCATTTAAATCATTAAACTAGTACATAAATTTTAAAATTACACATATTCATTTATATCAAGGTAATTATTAGAATAAAGAAACTTTTTTACTCTTTGTCATAACTTATTTAACCCTGTTTTTTTAAAATTCAACTTCCTCGAAACATTACAAAAGTTGTAATGACATCAGTGTTAATGAACCATGCTTCTAAGACATTGCATCTCACAGGTCTCAAAGAAAAGCAAGGCTTGCTGAGACTCATGTGTGTCTCCAGCTTAGTTTGTGAGAATAAACTTCTAGATGATGGAGATATCAGAATTTCCAAGCTTTGTTTGCTATGTTATCAATAAACAAAATGATTTGCACTAACTAAATCAGTTTCCTCAAGCTTCTAGTTGTTTGGCCTTTACCCCCAAACCTTCTCGTGTCCTTTTTTCTTTGAAGTATTCCTGAGGTGTAGTCAGTGGTTTACAACAAAAAGGTATAGGCTCAATTTAAACAATAAAATGTTTTTTTCCATTTGCTTTGAGGATTTATA